ATCATCTTTATATTGGATTCGTCTGCGGTTGATTTCTTCCCAGATAGCAACCTGGTTATTTGATACAATGTCATCAGGTCTCTTTACTGCAGCCTGTTTCGCATCACCTGCCAGTGTTTCGTAGAAGGTATTTGTCTTGCGAGCACTCTTCTTCACTTCTCTGTCCAGTGTTTTATACATTGTACTCAGTTCCTCTTGTCGTTGTGCATCCTTGCACTGCACTGGTTGATCTCTGCTTCCCATCCTCCTCTCCCAGCTCTATCAGCTTCCATGTATCCATTGAGATCCATTCCTTATTCTTTCTTCTTCCTTCCTAATGCGGTTGTGCAGGTTTCTTTCCACATCTCTTTCAAAGACTTCCAGTATTCTTCCACCCAGGTTTCTTCAGGGATGTTGCTCGCTGTCTCCCATTTTGTCTTGATGGCTGCTGTGAAGATTTCCTTTGTAATTTCATCCTTCAGTTTTCGAGTGTTGAATTGAGGTCAATCACCAGCTTCCTTGAAGGCTTTTAACTTGATCTGGAAGGTTCCTTGCACTAGATGGTGAGTGGTGTGAACCTACATCTGCTCCTCTTCTTGACGTTGTGTCAAGTAGACTGCGTCTCCATTTTCTTGAGATTAAGATAAAGTCGATTTGATTTTTAGTGTGTCCATCTAATGAAATCCATGTCGCCTTGTGAATATCCTTGTGCTTGAACACACTGCCTGATTCCAATCACCAAATCGTTGAATGCACAGAATTCTGCAAACAATTCTCCATTCTCATTCATCACCTCACCGAGTGCTTCTCGACCTATGGTTTGTTCTCTTCCTGTGTTGTCTGCTCCCAGTTTGGCATTCATGTCACTCCACCCATTAGAATTTTGATATCGCCAACTTGAGTGGTGTCTTGTCCAGTGTTGATTGAAGTTGTCTGTAAAATTCTACTTTTTTCTCTTCATCTGCATTATTTGTAGGTGCATAGCATTGTATGATTGTGGCCCACCTTCCTTTTGAATTGAATCTTGCTGTCATGATCCTGGAGGAGATTGGTTCCCACTGCATGAGAGCCTTCGATGCTCTTGAGGACATCATGATAGCCACTGGAAAACTCAGTGTGCTCGTGGTTGTCGTCTGGGTGACAATATCGGAGTAGATTATTGACCCGTATCCAGTTGACAGTTTCGAGAGTCCACTCTCATTCCATCTACTTTCGCAAATTCCTAACACCTCAATGTGATACCTCTTCATCTCGTTTGCAATCTATGCTGCCTTGCCAGCTGGGTTCAAACATCGTGTGGACATTCCATGTCCTCATGTTTACTTTCGCTTTTATCGGGAGAGAGAAGACACATCGGCCAATTGGCTTCCCGAAGGCAGGCTTTCACCGACTGGCGTCATTTCGCTTCTCCGATTCCAACGAGGAATAATTTTGTTATTATTTTTTATATATCGTTTGTGCTTTGAAGTTTCTTTGGTGGTTATATTTGTTTTACGGGGTAGGGTTGCTAGTCGAATGCACAACCTTCCCACTTTGTCGGGGCTTAGGACCGGCTAGTAACCAGTGAACTAGTTAACCAGGCGAGGTTGAAATTAAGCTATAGTCGACCAAAATCTTAACATTGCTGTCGATCCTTCATTGGGTTTGCATTTCGTTTATTGGAACTACATAAGCATGTGGGTTGATTGTCTTTCGGAATTCTTGAAAGTGGTTGCTTCGATGAACGTGAATGTCATCTCAATCTAATTTCTTTTTTGACGATAAAAGTAGAAGCAAATTCCTTTAATATTTGTGAGGAGAGACGCGCAAGGTGGTTCTAAACGTGTATCAAATTGAAAAAAATGGAAGGGTATCCTATACTACCTTATAATTTATCTGCGTCTTAAATAACTATATGGTTATTATTGGCGTAGCTACCGATGCTTTTTACTAAATTCATATTCTCTGCTTTTCAGCCAATTTAAAATTCTGTAACATAGCGCTAATTTATCGCTTTCACAGAAATGAATGTCGTTATGGTCAAATATACCACGATTCAGTTACATGCGTTGCGCTACATCTCCAGTACAATTCCCAGTGCTTGTTGGTCTGAAAAGGGTTCAAGAGTTAGCGGTTTAAGACAGCCACCAGGCTTTGTTCCGCCACATATATGGCTGAAGCAGCGACAGGAGGATCAAGCCCTCAAAACACTTTTGTTTGGTGCAACAAAAAAGGAAAATACAGTAGCCGAGAAGCAATACCTTTCATACGCTTCCCATGCTTCTGTGTCTGGTACACCAGTCACAGGAAACTTCTCTTACGAAATTGCTAATAATGTAAGTTCTTCCGTAAACTGTTTGCATTTTTGTTATGAATTCACTTACTGACTGGGCGTCCACTTCTGTTTTCATTTGAATTTACTGTTTAAGTCTTCGTAAGAATTTAAATATGGGTACTGCTAACTTTGTCATGTTAGTATTTGGTAGGGAGTCAAGATTTCGTGTTTGCATAGTTGGTATGACAAGAAGTATGCATTTAGTTGCATGATTAGGCTACTTCAAGCTTCTTCTTAGGATTGGAAAGCGATTCTCTATTTAGAATACGTTACAATCGATACGATTTCCTTTTTTCTGTGAAGCAAACTAATCTTTCAAAGCCAGTTCCAATAAATCAAGTATGACATACCTTATTTTCTTCAGGTGCTGGTGCTGTATCATTTTTCTAGACTTACGCAAACAGTCCATCACCTCTTATTTCCGACGTAATTTTTTTTAATAGTTGTACACGAGCCCATTTATCTGGTCATAATCTTTGATTGCTCAAGAAAGTAGAGGACTCGTCTTATGGTAGCCGCTAAAGGATTTCTTAGACTCATTTGCATTAGCACTTGAATTCCAGTCAGTTGCTTCTAATCTGGCTTTACCCATCAGGGTTTGATCAGTCAGTATCATAAGCTTACAATAATTGTGACTCATTATCTTTCTCATAAATCAGCACATGGTTACTAAGGTTTTATAAAATCTATACAATTCATCTGTCCTTTGAAGTAACTACTGTGGAATTATTGTCTTCCATTGTCTTAATCTGCTTTTGTGTTATTTTCAGATCAATGAAATTCCGAAATTGGATGTAAAATTGTTATGTAATCTTAACAACATGGGGCTGTCTGAACTTACTCCAGTTCAGAAACACGCCATTGGTATTATGTCGATTGATGAGTATGAAAAGATTGATTTGAAGAGAAATGATGAGGATACTCCAGATAATTTACCGCTTTATGAACGTGTTACTGGTAAATTCGATCTAATGGCAGCTGCGCAAACTGGATCGGGTAAAACACTAGCCTATCTCATTCCATCCTTCAATCGTTTACTCAGAGTTTATCCATATGAAGCAATGCAGTCTCTGGTAAAAAGAATTGTTAAACTTCTGTATAATAACATTTTCACTGTAAAGTATAGAACATTTACTTGTAAATTTGTTCAAAATATTCGGAAAATAATATTTCATCACAATATCAAGGGTAACAGTGCAGTTCAAATCAATATGCATTCAGTTGATTTGAACAATACTGATAATTACTTAACAGTGCGACAGTCTTTGTTTGCAGACAAATCATCTAGTGAATTGTAATGAGAATCCAGCGTACGCCATGATCCACGTTTATCGTATAATACTGCTGCTTAGTTAATCTAAGCGTGATAGATTGTATAGGCTTGGAACCTATGATCTCGTTTCATCAGTCAATGTCAACATATGATTTTCTGGGTAGTAGTCCAAGATACCATGCATCAACCCCCACACCAAGACACAAGGTGTTAGGGTGAAAGACAAAGGAACAGAAAACCTGTGGACATAATCGTAGAGACATAAAACGAGGAGAGGGAGTGAACATTTACCAATGGTGATATAATGATTGGAATGAAGATATGGCGTGAATACATCTAAATCACTGAGGTCGAATTTGTGTTACATCACCTAGGATATCCAACCTTCGATTTCGGTTGCAACTTAGCTACCAATCTGTATTGACCTAGATCAGTACTGAAGCAACAATTTGCATTTTGGTAGTGAGAAACACGTAAAGCGTTTCAGACTTGTTGCTCAAGTTATCCGAAAGATAGCATCTTGTATCCATCCCAGTCTTACACGACTATTTCATCCACCCTCTCCAGGCTTACTGAGGTGTTTCCTGCCATCCGGTGGATCCATTTGAAATCAGACTAAAAGACGGATATATTCAGAAGCATTTATGTTTCAAAGGTAGATAAAAATAGTGAACAATCTGTTATCTACCGTTTGGACGTTATGTCTATCTCAGTGATTTACAGCCGTACAGCTAACTGACTGTTTTGTCGCATTTTGACGTTATTTTAGTGCTATTTTACTGGATTGTTCCTTGATATTGTTGTGAATCTATCTTCTAACTTCTGAAATTTTCAGTTTTATTGTATTAAACTCGTGTGACTGAATGTATAAGCGTATCTGTCCTGTTAAAATCGCGAATAGTGCCAGAAACCTTCCAATTCTCATCTCAGGACGATTTCATAGAGCTGACAGCCCCATCATACAGTCTGTGCTCGTACTGTCGGTGCAAAATTTTGTTCTCGAACGTTCCCTCATATTAACTATCCTAAAAGTCTTCTGTGATGTTTGAGCCACCGAAATTTCAGTGTGATGTTACATAATCGTATCCCAAAAATAGCAGTTTTCAAAGAACAAATTACATAAGGTGTCAAAACTGAAAATGGTCAAACACAAAGAGCATGTTTATTATGTTTTGGCTACATGGCTAACTACAGCCTCGATTTACTTAAATGTTTTTATCGGTTGAATTCCCTTACACTACCAACAAAATAGGTATAATCACTGTAAAATTGAATACACATACAGAAATGTAATGTTTCGATCTGCTGGAATTTCTAGTTGTCATTGTTTAATGTTGTGTTTTTAAGTTATGGTATCGCTTATTCATTTCCAAACAGTAGTAGGCTGTTTTTTTAGGGATGTATGATCTCTAAAAAAAGCTAACATGCATGTATTTTCGCGCCTTTTTCGCTCCACGCATTGTTACTAATTTTTACCGGGATTTAAGGTGCTGAAGTCTGATTGATTCATTTTTCACTCAATATGCTATTTTTTCTTCGATCAATGCCTTTTGAAAGATATGTAAGCGACTAAGCTTTCAGCTATAATCGCATCTCATTATCATCTCATCTCAGATGAATACCATTTTGAAAAGTCTTTGTTCTACTTTTAATCGTATCGCTTCAGAGCGTTATATATATATATATATATATACCGCAGATCAAAACAGGTTCTCTCAATGGAACACCATCTTCTGAGATCAACTCATTAAAGTGTTGGGCATAAAACAGAGCGAAAGCAAATAAAACGTCCAGCTGACCTTCAGCAACGCTTCAGTTGCTGAAATCCTGCCTGAACCTGAATGTGACGTAGACGCCGGTCCTCCAACGGGTCTTGAAGTTATGGAAGCTGTATCAAATTTGAAACTATGGAAAGCAGTAGTACCTGGCTGTTTGCTACCTGAAGTTCCCAAGGATGAAGAAAATTATTGATTGGAGTGACGGGGGTGTTGGGTAGTGTATGGGAATCAAAAGTAGTGCTGTCAGACTCGTATGTTTCACTGGATCGTCCCAGTCTATAAGGAGGAATAGAAGTCTTATGACAACTATAGGGGAATTAGTTTAACTAATATTGTGTCCAAGATCCTAGGGCCCATAGTTATCCGACGCCTAAATGAAACTCGAGGAGACCAGGCAAGTTTCAGATCTAGACGAGTGTGCATCGATCGTATTTTTACCCTCCTACAGGTCTTGGGACAGGCATACCCACTGGCCAGTGGCCGACACCTGACATATTTGATGACCTAAAGGCGGTGGTCTCACCGTTTGACTATGAAGGGAGTACCAAACAAGTATATAACGCTAATCAAAACTCTACTCGAACTGATACATCCGTGTCAGGGCTTATGGAGAGTTGTCATGTGAACTGACGACAACTAGTGGTGTCCGCTGGGGATGTCCACTATCACCGTTCCTATTTAATCTCATCATAGACGTACTAATAGTACGTCTGACTTCACACGCATTAACCTACTCCTTGGAGTATGCAGACGATATTGTCCTTCTAGGTGAAGACACTAATGCAATACAGGGTCTTGTGAACGCGTTGAATAGAAATCTGAGTTTGTTTGACATGTGTTTCACTGGCACCTGTCAAATGTAAAATGATCATCTAGAAATGGTCTGCTGCAAATACTCCCAGTTTAATAACAGGGAGTGAATTGGTGGAAGAATGTATTGACCATGTTACTTACTTGAAAAGTTGCATCAGCCCGAACGGGTTGCTTGTTGACGAATTCTCAGCTTGGATATAGAAGGCCCGTTTGGCATTTGCCAACTTGGGTCACCTGTGGCACCGGCTGGTAATATACCCGAGTGCCTATCAAAGGACGAGTATGCTGCGCTGCAGTCTGTTTTGTTATACGGCTGTGAAGCATTGCAGTTGAAAGTAAATGTTGAGCGTTTACAGGTGTTTGACCATAGTTGTCTTTGTTGGATTGCTCGCGTTTAATGGAATCACCGTGTGAACCATGTTGAGGTTAGACGAAGGGTACTAGGCAAGGCGATTGATGAAGTTACGAACCTTCATTGTCTGAGATATCTTTGACATAAACCGCGCATGCGGAGTCACCGCTCACTTTGAGGTGCCATGCTTGAATCAATGGGGTTAGGTTGGGAGAGAGTTCAGGGTGACCAGACCAAGATGAAGCATAAGTCGATGAAGTCTCTTGCTGTTGATTTGAGTCGTGTTCAAAGATGTGGACTATGGTTCTGGATGCCGCGACAAAAGGAATCAATGGCTGAGAACTCGTGGTAAAATGACTGAAAATCAGTCTCGGTGGTGCAGTTGACATCTAAAACTTAAATATTCACACTAACCTTTTATTCTCTCATACTCCTGTATCTACTTTTATATCACTTCTGTCCACATGTTTTTTGTCGACTACTGTTCAGTGTGGGAACTTCAGCTGACGCACCTATGTGCAGGGTTCTACCTTAATTTTGTCAGTCAGTCATAAAATAGTGGACCGGTGTTAGAATTTTTATTTGCATGCACTCACTCTGTTGTGGTCATTATTTGTGCAGAGTTACATGATTTGTCTGTAAAGATAAGAGACAAGTGGTACGAATTGGGAACCCCATCACTTATTGATTGGCAGGCGAATGTGTACATTATTATTATTATTATTATTATTATTATTATTATTATTATTATTATTAGTTGTCCCTTGGGTTCTTAATGGAACATACCGCTTCAGTAGCACGTCTCCAATGAGCTCTGTTCTCTGAAATCTTTTCAACCTGGCTCGACGACAACCCACAAACTCTCATTTCCTCCTCGCACGATCTCCTCCATGTCACCCTCGACACCGACGCCCAACTGATCGCTTCCCATCTGGGTTCCACTCGAGTAACTGGCCTGACGCGTGATGTCCACAGTCCGCCCTCCCAGTGTATGCCCAATCCATCTCCACTTCTGCATATTTGTTGCGTGATAGGTCCTTGGTTGGTTCGTTCCCAGAGCTCCTTGTTGCTTATTCTTATTATTCTGACCATCAGATCTTCAGTAGCGAACGTGAACAGTTGTTGATGAATGTCTGTAGTTTATTGGAAATCCCTTTCGTAATGCGCCAAGTCTCTAAACCATCACACAGCAGCACTGACTTGACTGATGTTGGTGTTGAAAATCCGGATGTTGTCCCACATGCTGAGTGGAGTGCAGATCTCCACACTGGTTTCAGGCTAATGAACGCCTGTCTTGCTTTTCCGATTCTGACTTTGACATCCTCGTTTGTGCCTGTGCCACCTGTAGTTGAAACAGTGCTGCCCAGATACGTGAACGAGGCTACTTCCTTCAGGTTGCTCCCGTTGATGGTGATTGCAGCTTGTTGTTTTGCTGTTCTTCTTGGTTGGGTATCTTCATCACCTCTGTCTTCTCCATATTCAATTGAAGTCGCATCTTCATTCGCTGCCATGCCATGCCCTGCCCTGCCCTGCCCTGCCTCTTCTGTCAACTAGTTACTTTTCGCCTGTAGATCTTCTACTTTGTGTGACATCAGACACAAGTCATCACTGGCCACATCCACATCTTCTAGGTTCTTCTCCGCGGTCCACACTGCGTATCCCCCTCTTCTCACAGCTCCCCACTGTTTGCTGCATCATACAGTCCAGTCAACCACAATCACGAATATCATGGGGGATAGTAGACAGCTTCGCCTTACTCCTGTCTTCACTTCAAAAGCATCACTGAGCTTCCCATTGTCAATTACTTGGCTGGCATGTGGCGTCTTCATATAGCTGCTGTTGCATCAGATTGATAAAGGTTTGTGGTATTCCGTAGTGTTGAAGCAGCTACCTGCCAAATTACCTCTCGTTCGACGCCAAAGGTTCGATGCCAAAGGCCTTCTCAAAGTCGATGGAGTTGAGTTAAAGGTCCTGTTGACTGCCATTCTATACTCTGTTCTATGATGATGCGTAGTGTAGCGTTGCAATTTGGTCCGCATATGATTTGTACTTCGTGAATCGAGCCAGCCTGTTCCGGTCGTAATTTTCAATTGAAAGCATCCTGTAGCCTCCTCCAGGATGATGCGGCTTAATATTTTGCTTGCTTGGGGTTGGACAGGGATAGCAGCATGATTCCACGCGAGTTCTTGCAAACACTGAGGTCTCCCTTCCTCGGCAGTTTGACAAGCTAACCTTTCTTCTAATCAACCGACAGGTACCTTTCCTTCCCTCCAAACCTTCTGCAGTAGTGGTGTGGTGTGGTGTGGTGTAGTGTGAGCATGTCCGCTGCAGTTGTCTCTGCGTATGCTCTCAGTGCTTCTGGCGGGATTTCATCTGGTCCTGCTGCTTTCCCGCATTTCAGTAGTTTTATGGCGCTCACGACTTCCACTTTTGTTGGAGGATTTATGTTCATTTGTAGTTCTGTGGCTGGGCTGCAGGTGGTATTTCTAGACGAAGTGCAGATGGTGGTGGTGGTGGTGGTGGTGGTGGTCGATTCAAGAGCTTTTTGAAGTGATCGGCCCATCGTTTCCTTTGTTTCTCATCTTTCGTAATTAAATTTCACTCATCATCTTTTATTGGTTTCATGTGTGTTGATCTCTTCCATCCCACATAGTAAGTAACCTGGTTATTTGATACAATGTTGTCAGATCTCTGTCTCTCCTACCTGCGGTAGCCTGTTCTGCTTCACTTGCCAGTGTTTCGTAGAAGTGTTTCTTGTTTTGTGTGCACTCTTCTTCACTTCCTTGTCCAGTGTATTGTTTTATACATTTTACTCAGTTCCTCTTGTCGTTGTGCATCCTTGCACTGCACTGGTTAATCTTCTGCTTCACCATCCCCATCTCCCTGCTCCATCAGCTTCAATGTATCTGTCGAGATCCATTCCTTGTCTTGGCGTGTCTTCTTCCTTCCTTATACGGTTGTGCAGGTTTCCTCTCACATCGCTCTCAATGAGTTTCAGTGTTCATCCACACAGGTTTCTTCAGGGATGATGTTCGATGTCTCCTATTTTTTCCTGATAGCTGCTGTGAAGATTTCCTTTGTAGTTTCATCCTTCAGTTTCTCTTCTGGGTGTTTTACTTGAACTGCTGTCTATAACCAGGTTCTTTGAAGGCCTTCAATTTGATTTGGAAGATAGGTTCGTTGAAGTAGACAGTGAGTGGTGTGAGCCTACATCTGCTCCTCTTCTTGACCTTGTGTAAAGTAGGCTGCGTCTCAACTTTCTTGAGATTGAGATGTAGTCTATCTGATTTTAAGTGTGTCCTGGTGTCTGGTGAATGGTGAAATCCATGTCGCTCGCTTTGTGGATATCCTCGTGCTTGAACACACTGCCTGATTCCAATCACCAAATCGTTGAATGCACAGAATTCTGCAAACAACTCTCCATTCTCATTCATCACTTCACCGAGTGCTTCTCGACTCATGATTGCTTCTCTTCCTGTGTTGTCTGCTCCCAGTTTGGCATTCATGTCACTCCACCCATCAGAATTTTGATATCGCCAACTTGACTGGTGTCTTGTCCAGTGTTGATTGAAGTTGTCTGTAAAATTCTACTTTTTTCTCTTCATCTGCATTATTTGTAGGTGCATAGCATTGTATGATTGTGGCCCACCTTCCTTTTGAATTGAATCTTGCTGTCATGATCCTGGAGGAGATTGGTTCCCACTGCATGAGAGCCTTCGATGCTCTTGAGGACATCATGATAGCCACTGGAAAACTCAGTGTGCTCGTGGTTGTCGTCTGGGTGACAATATCGGAGTAGATTATTGACCCGTATCCAGTTGACAGTTTCGAGAGTCCACTCTCATTCCATCTACTTTCGCAAATTCCTAACACCTCAATGTGATACCTCTTCATCTCGTTTGCAATCTATGCTGCCTTGTCAGCTGGGTTCAAACATCGTGTGGACATTCCATGTCCTCACGTTTACTTTCGCTTTTATCGGGAGAGAGAAGACACATCGGCCAATTGGCTTCCCGAAGGCAGGCTTTCACCGACTGGCGTCATTTCGCTTCTCCGATTCCAACGAGGAATAATTTTGTTATTATTTTTTATATATCGTTTGTGCTTTGAAGTTTCTTTGGTGGTTATATTTGTTTTACGGGGTAGGGTTGCTAGTCGAATGCACAACCTTCCCACTTTGTCGGGGCTTAGGACCGGCTAGTAACTAGTGAACTAGTTAACCGGGCGAGGTTGAATGTCTACACTAGGGAGCCAGAAATTTAAAGAAGTATTCCCCTAAGTTATCATACTAAAATGTTGACCATTTATCATTTTAAATCTTTCTATGTGCAGCAGATGAATTAAGGGATGAAAAAGTCGATGTACTCGTCCTACATACATGTAGCTTAAAAAAGGCTAACACCTGAAACTCGTGCAACTCAACTCGGTACAGATGTTTAGATATCGGACTTTGAAGCACATATATTGCGTGAGCGCTTATTACACCGACTGGCTGCAGAAACCGTAGCAGTCAGAGGTGGGTTTGAACCCGGGACGCTTTAGCTGAAAGAACATTGTCAAATGAGATAAAACTAAAACCTTTTATGAAATGTGTTTATGGTGATACAGATCAAGGGCAGTCGGGAGTACTGACATGATCACTTTGTATGCAGACGAATCTCACTACGAATCTATCGACAAATTCATTGTCAGTTTGCAATGTGTATCCATATGGAAAATTTTTCAAATGATGTTTTCGAACATTTGGGTGTCATCTATTATTATAAACTACTACTCAGTTTTTAGAAGACGTTAGAAAGCGTAAAGTTATTGCAATCACATATCCAGTTTTGTTTTCAATCCCAAACATTTAACATACTTTTGTTGATAATTTTAGCTAGAATGCAACGGGTGTCAGTATCCATCGTTGTTGATTTTGGCACCAACTCGTGAGTTGGTTCAACAAATACTGTCAGAGTCACTCAAGGTAAGTTTCTTCGTTGTATCTACTGCAATAATTTGTAATTTTTTTTGGATAGTTATGCAACCAAACTTTTGCTCGTCCAGTAGCTGTATATGGTGGTGAACGACCAGACAAGCAATTGTCTGAACTGAGTAAAGGGTGTCATGTAATGATTGCAACTCCTGGGAGACTTTTGGACTTTTTACAACGTGGCGCAATATGTTTGCAATTCTGCAGGTAGCTCTCAGTTTCATTAATGTTTCAATTGTTCTAAAACATGTTTTATGTAAAGTATATGCCTGTTTACGAATACCTTATGGGTTTTTAAAGCTTGCTTTCACAGATTAGCATCGGTTGGAGAAGCATTGAAAACCTAGCAACACTAGATGGCTACTTCTTACTTGTTTAGTACTCTTCAGCAGTCACCCCTTACGAACTACCGATTGCATTACTACTCACTGCTTATAAGCGACTTATTTTGGGATGAATTTTCTGAAGTTTTAGTGAGGAGTCGTGTAGTAAGCAATAAGCCGCACCTGTTGTGTGAGGGCTAATAATAGTACTGTCTGACTGCTTAGACCTCTGTCGGTAAAATGGAGTTCGAACCCGTGACCTATTGGTCGGAAGTCAACCCCATAAACCAGTAAGCCACAGCTCCACTATCCACGTCAATCTCCATTGATAAAAGAATTATCACTTTAGTAGCATTTGGCTGCTTAAGTAGCTAAAACGTGATAGTTTTCATATTCTTTATACACTCATATTTCTAAGGGAAAAATATAATGGCCAAGAGGCATACTCATTTTTCATGGAGAACACTCGCTCACCTTCGTATTTGTATTTGTGTTACAGCTTACTTCTCCATGCTGTGATAAATTGATATGCCATTAACCAATTGCTTTTCATGTAGATCCTTGGTACTTGATGAAGCAGATCGAATGTTGGATATGGGTTTTGAAAAACAGATACGTCAAATATTAGAGTCTCCAAGATTTAAAATGCCACCGCCTACAGGAAACTGTCGACAAACTGTACTGTTCAGTGCAACCTTTCCACATGAAGTAACTTTGTTAGCCACAGAATTTCTGCGTGGGCCAAGTTGTGTTTCTCTTAGTCTCACTAATCCAGAACATGAAACTGGCACTGTGGTTCCTGCATGGGGTCAACGAGTACGCAGTAGTAAAGACGACGAACTTAATCGTCTTAGTCGAATAATTCCAAAAGAAATTAACCAACGTTTTGAAGTAGTCGATGGAAAACCAGATCGAGCTATGCCTGGACGTCTTCTACAGTTAATTCAAGAAACAAAATTTAAAACCGAATCAGGTAATTGAATGACTGCATTTATAAAAGTGTTTTACATACAGCGTTACAAATCTTAAACACAAGAAGGATTTGTACTGAAGTAATTCAAAGCAGTTGTCAATACATTTTAATCTGTAATAAGTTGATATGCCCTGCTTTTGGGTCTAAAATGCAATCTAGTGTCTGCTGTTCACAAACATTCTATGGGTTGTGCTAATTGTCTAATTTCCTCTGAGCTTAGAAATCTGCTCTTGGACGTCTCACCACTGGTGAGATAAATTCAACAACACGCCTCATGAACAAGTGTAGCATTATCATCCTGCATGAATGTTTTCTACAGAATATTTTCGACCTCAGGTATTATTGTCTACTGGAGAGGGATGGTTTTTTCATTTTCTCATCAAATGTTGGCCTATATAACAATTGTGATCTTTTAACCTATACTCTTGACTTAATGTCTGATCATTGATTCGCTTGATTGATTTTTATTTGACTGATCCGTTCTTGGTAGTCCGCATATTGGATGAGTGTCCATATGTCTGTTGATTATCATTTGATTGGAGTATCACGCTTCCAGGAATTCTCTTGGTTTTTCTGAGCTAGTCTGTTGTAGTGTTTACATGTTGATTCAGTCAAAGTCATGGTTGTACTCATCTGCAGTCATTTATATCAATAATGATTTGTTATGTCCTTCGACTACTATCTAATCCTGATAAATTTTTTGGGCTATTCGATGACTGGACTGGCCAACATAATGTAGATAGTCTGTGCAACTAATGTTGTAAATCATATTCGTTTTGTTTTATTTAAATAATAGATCCTTCAGCTTGCAAAATATGTTCTTGAGGGATTTGGTTGGTTTGTGTACCACGATAATACTGAATAGGTGAAGTAATCGGTCGATATTTTCTCAAGCATTTTTGATGTATGGTAAAGTAATTTATTTTGTTGATTGGGGTAGATGTGCATTTCTTGATAAAGTTGATTTGGGTAATCATTGACTGAACACTTTGTCAAGGTTGTTTTCTTCTTAGTTCCGTAGTTGTTCTATTGCTTCAATGAGTCTTTCACATGTGAATAGTACTTGTACAGAATTATACATTGATTGGTGACTGGAGAGTAACAAACTTCATGTTGTCTAGTCCTTAGTGGTGACCGAATAGTACCAGTCATTTTCCAGTGTAACCACCAAGCTAACAGACTCACCATCGCGATACACTTTGATAGATATAAGTTGGTTGGAGGCAGTCAGCAGGAAGGCATAACCTTAGATTTCGTGCTTGTTGGGACCTTTCAGTGCAGCCTATTTGCAAACTTAAGGGAACTGATCGCTCTTGTGAGATTCACAACCGTTATCACCCGTTGCTGCAATTAGAGACGTTATCACAGCTGTTCGAGTTGGTCGGTGTTAACGTTTCTGACTGCGGCACTAGGTGATGTAGGTTTGAATCTCACAAGAGATATCATTTCTCTTGAGGTTACAGATACATCGCATTGACAGTTGTTAACGAGCATGAAACCTAAGGCTATAGATTCTTGCTGATTTCATCCAACCAACCAATATCACTAGTCTACAAGTCTTTATGAGATGGTGAGTTGTTACTTCTGTATTTCAAAATTTGATGTGTCACTTTCCTTTGCACGAGTTTGTTCGTAAGGTTACGTCATGTGTTCCATTAATAAGGATGTTTACGAACACAATTTCGTTATTTTCTTCTACTTCTTTTGTGAATTAATTATATCCTAAGTGTTTTCCAATTCCTTTATTTTGATATTCTCACCAGTTTCATCGACGTGATAAATTTAGGTTCTATTTTTGGAATGACTATTTATTGTAACCTCACTGACTCAACAGTCAGTGCAGATACTGGTGAATCAGTGGTATTTCCTCTGATCTCTGTACATCTTCCCGTTTTTTCTCGTAATTTTCTTATAGTTTTGAAGATTGTGATCATTGTTAGTAAAGATATTCATTATATTTTTTGGCAAGATGTGGGTAGATTAACATGAAAGTGTAGTTACATCGAAGGACACTGTTGTTTTTGAAACTACATTCTTTCTACTGGCGTATTTATGTATAAACATTGATGAATAACTTTGTACTTTCATATATGTGTTTGTGAATATGTGAGTGTTTGGTCTGAATTCAGTGCACCGTGCAGGTATAATACATCTGTCGTCCGAGTTTTTTAGTTATCGTGTTGATATAAATCAGGATTATAATTCTTGCTATTCCTGTGCAATTCTGGAATCCTAGTTCTAAGCAGTACTACTTGTCCGAATTTATAATTCCATTTCCGAAACAGCATAGAATCTTAGAGTTATGTATTCTTCAGGTATATTTATATGTTTTAAACCTATGAAAATGTGTTCAAACTCCATCAGTGATATGAATGAATAGAAATGATAAATGAATTTGTGAAGTTATGCACCTAAGAAGGGAATCTGTCATTGAATTAGTAGGAACACCAGTATTAATGTGTGTATGCAGTTATCTAACAGAAATTAATGTAGAGCACTGAGTCGGAAGCTCATTGGTCTCCGGTTCGATTCCTGCAGTGGTCGAAATTTTCACTTCACCTTCAATCACTTCTCAGTATTATTACGTTTCCGTTAATCAGTCTAATAAACATCTCTTAAAAGCCTCTGATGTTTGAACTTCAACGTAGTCAGATCTAGTTTTCTATAAACAAGGATTTTTATGTGCGACGAATTTTGATACCTTAACTTGCAAGTGGCAGATTTTTTAAAACAATGTAGTCCATTCTCAATGCATCTTTTATAAAGATCTCTTAACAATTATTAATGATAAGTCCTTAGTTAAGTAAGAAGTGACATTTTTGACTTCATGGTGAATGATTTCTACTGACGAATTTTATAATGGAGATAATAACGTCGGAATACTACTTGAAACAGTAGCATAATTATTATCGTATCATCACGTTATAGAGGTGAACAAGTATGCTTCTGGTAACAAACAGTCGAAAAGATACCCGTAAGTCACCCCAGATAAGAATTGTTCCTGGATTCTGATATTCTGGCAGTCAGCAGACTGTTACTTACTTGAGGTAACCATTCCCTTCTAATGTCTTATGGATTTTTCGTTTAGTTCAAAGAGATGCAGTTCTGGTAAGGGAGAGACAGATGAGATATGGCATTTCATGAACGCTTTAAGCGAAAATTTAGCATGTCTGGTCCAAGTTTCACCGTTGTTTGTCATTGCCATCAACTAACCTACACTATTTTCCATGTTTAACATTTGAACACTAATGGGGTGAATATAGCGAGCAGCTAGTGTTTTATATGACTGTTAGAATCATACATCCTAAGCAAGTTGTAAACATTCAACCATCGGTTTTCCCACAACTCATGTAGTGAGCTTTGCCTTCAAATTTCGATGCAAAGAATACAAAATAGTCTTCGAACTTGTAAACCAGGTCTGGCTGATGCGTTAGCAGCATGTGATATTGAATGAAAAAAGAATTTTATCGAAATTTGATGTACACCATCTATTTATGTATTTCTCAACTACTGGTGCCTACTAATTAAGGAAGTGTAAGCTACTCGGTTGGGTTGCTCCATATAACGAAATCTTGTGGTTAAAAACTCTAGGTTGCATAAATGAAAAACGTTCGTGACGAAACATAAAGGCATTCATTGCTTATCGTTCTTTGCATTGTGAGTGTTTTATCACTTTGTAACCATTTACTCCCTTTTCAATCTTTTATTTCTAACACTGAAAAAGATTTCAATGAATGAATTCAGATAAATTTCTTTTCTTTTCACTTTTCTATATGAGGAGTTCTACCACACGGATCATTTTTGAAATCAATTGTAGTCATAATAACTCAACTATTCGTGACGCATTTCTCTAATGCTATAGCTTTTAGCTTCCCATTGTGGTTGAACCAGTGGTGTATGAGCCCCCTGTGCAGATGCCTCAATGTTACTGGTAATTTTATCGAAAAGTAATGATAGCCATTAAGTTTGGATTCAATGGTTTACACTTTCCCACGTATGTCGATTCGCATGCTTCGAAATAGATATCCTGAAGTTCCGATGAGAAGGCCTAACGTTTGAGACCAAGCGGTTGGAAGTGAAGCAGATGCCAACTGAAGACTTTGATAGATAGTCGCGCTCTATCATGAGTTGACAGAAGTAGGAAACTGTGGAGTGTTGGACTTCGACCCAGTAACTGAATGATTAACATGTTTGTTGTGAAACCTGAACGTCTTGAGTTCTATCTGTGGTGAGAGGGATTGTGGGTAAGTACTAGTGAGGAGTCCTATTCCATGACGAAACAGCTGTTCAATAATCCCAGGTTTTCAATGGCTGTTCAACGGATTTCACTCCCTGACGAATACAATCTTAAAAGTAAAATCCACATTAACCTCAGAATATAGTAATGATACTCGTCAGTTAAACTTACTTGAATTCCAATGAGTGGCCTTTTCCTGACTGACATTTGAACTCAATTACAATCGCATCAAATAAGTAGTCGTTACTCGCTAAATTATGAAGTTGCAATAGCTTTTTTTTGTGTAACAAGTATAGATTGATGTTGTCGCTTGTAAGTTTCCTGTGTTTGATTGGACCGAATTTACTGGTTACTTTTGGCATATAGGTAGGTACTCCTGCTAGTCATTAATAATATCGAATGTATTTTTTTCCGAAAATGCAAATGTACTATATTTCGAAGAATGTAATTTGTTTACATTTCAACTTAGCTAAATTATTCTCGCTGTTATATTTCTGGTTTTGGGGCTGTCAGTCTTTCTTATGATAATTTTTTCTTTCAAATGGTATTTTCATACTGTTAATTTCACTATAGTAAATTATAAATTATCATCACCAATAATCGTTGTTGTTTCTTTGCAATCTTTTTATGCTTCTATAGATTCGGATGCACAAGATGAAAGTGTATGTCGAATACTTGTATTCTGTAACACTAAAAGAGAAGTAGATGATATTGATGGTTATTTGCGTTCTAAAGGTGTCAAATGTACTTCGATTCATGGTGATAAGCCACAAATTGCTCGTAGTAAAGCCATGGAATTATTCCGTAAAGGAGCAGTCCATGTTCTTGTCGCCTCATCGGTTAGTTTTTGTCTGTCTTATAAATTCAATTAACAATTGTATTAAAAAGTATTCTATTGTCAACTACTCTGCCACTATCACATATTATTTGGTCAGATTTACATATATAATGACTTAGATGACTGGTATTCAACATATGTGTCATTATTTTTTGTATGAATCTAACAATATGAAGATGAAAAAGGTGCAAAAATTAAAACTTATAGTGCATACTAATGTGATTTGATTCTCTGGTATCAATACTTAACAATACAGTTTTCTATCTGTCAGCCTGACGTAAAAATGTGATGGAAATTGTATCCATGACAGTATACTTAGGAGACGAATGTCTAAAGTATTAAGTTACCATTCATTTTAGTTTATAGGTTGATTTCCAATTAATCTTTATAGAACGCAGTCAATTAATGTTACCAATTGATCCCAAACCATTTTTTATAATTTGTTCCATATACAACACAGGCAATAAGTCAATAAAACAAAGATAACCATTATGTGTGTTTTCATTAGTGTTGTATATTTTGTACTCTATATAAATTGCAAGTAAACCCTCTCAGAGACCACGTGTCTATTTATCTATTAATCAGTGAACTATGCCTGTTGCGTAAGGGCCCACAATATTACTTGACTGCTCAAACTTAATTATGTGAAGTGTGAATTTGAATCTGTGACTCAGTAATTCAAAGTTAACTGTCCAGTTCATTGTGCCATAGCTGCTCTACTCTATATACTTGGATTTGATATGACCATCGAATTTGCTAACTGGTCACCTGTTCCAGCTGCCAGAAGCGAGATTATAACAGCGAACAAATGAACGGCAGTGAAACAGCCGCAATCAACACTAACAACCGACACCAAACTCGATGTACATAGCACTCACTGCGACATGGATGGAAATAGTCATAAAAATGATGTAAAATAAGCGAACTGTTCGATTGATTTACTGTAGTATCACTGCAACTGGATAAACCTAATTATAGGCAGATAGTATCTGTAACCATAAGATTGATATCTGTGATTAGGTAGTAGATTTTCTAGATACTCATATTTCCTGACAATAACGGTGATGCTGAACATGCTTCCCACTAGTTTTGTTACGTCAAGTCTAACAACTTCAAGAGACAAGAGCATTGTAAACTAAACAAGGATAACCAGATAAGAGTGAGTGAAAACAGCAGTGATAAAAGAGATACTCACTGTTCATACCAATATGAAGATGAGTTTATTCGTGTCACCACGGTGAATTTCCAGTCGTCTTTGTACTGCCTAGGTTAGTAGTTAGTTAGTAGACCTATAAATCGGTACATTGTAAATAATATCTACGTTATTGATTACTGTCGAGGAGTTTTGTGTTGAATACTTTTTCTCATTTTTAACGTGGTGCCTGTTTTGAGACCAAAATTACAAACATTTCTATAACTTTTCCTGCTTGCTTAATAATATTTACTTTTATAACAGCTATTTTCATACCCTGTTCATCCTGTCCACATATAGTGAGTTCGCTAATACAGATTACTGCAATTGGTAATCACTAGTGGATGAAGCAATGTAGCTCAGAATCTATCTACACATTGTCTTCATCTGAATCGTCATACGGAATTTCACTGTCGCACTCCTCCTTGTGACTTTCTTCCACTTTCGACTGCTTTCTTTATTTCCTAATGTTTCATGTTGATTAATTTTTACCTAATGTGCTGTTATAAGGGTGAAGTCTCCCGTAGTTAATCTGAACCGTGTGGCGAGATGTAAACTGCCTGATTTAGGTCCCCAAGACAAAAGGAATCAGTGCTTAAGGATTCTTGGTGACATAGCTGGAAATCGGTCACAATGGTGCAGATGTATTTACTCATTGACATCTAAAGTTTGAATATTCACACTAACCTTTATCTTCTTTGATATCACTTTTTCTATCTTCGTGTTCTGTCTGCTACTGTGAAGTGTGGCAGCTTGAGTTGGTGCATCTATGTGTCATATTCTACGTCACTCAGTCAGCTGTTATAAGATTTGGTGACTGATACCGTTAGTCCGTAATGTCACGTCCCATATTGATATTGTTTATCTCTGTGTAATCATTAGTCGGTCAGTGATCTATGAATATGCCGTTGAACAGATACAATGGAAGTGATCTTTTATGGTATACCTGCTTTTCAATTTTCTGCTTTTTATTTTACACTGGTTTTTTTTTATTTCCGTTTAAAAGTTAAAACTATTTTATACATATATGTATTTGATTATATTATACGTTTACACAACATCTTAGTGACAAGTCAACTAGTAACTGTTGATATAGGCATGTGTTTATAATTAACCGGGAAAGCTTACAACTCATTTTGTAACCAAATCTCACCGACGTAAAATGTCCTGTGATAAATGTGCAATTCTTTTTAGAAGAATCAAAAAGAAAAGAATGATAATTTTATTTTGGAATTATCTGCCAATCAAATTGTGTGACATCATAAATCCATTGCATTTCCTCAAAGTGTGACTGTTTAACCTCTATTGAACACATCTCTTCAAAAATAATGAGAAATCGTCACCTAAATCGTCCTGCCCTATCATGAGTTGACAGGAGTAGAAAACTGTGGAATGTTGAGCTGCGACTCATTGACTGAATGGTTAACATGTTTGCTGTGAAATTTGTAGGTTCTAAGTTCGATCTGTTGTGAGTGAGCACTGATGAGGAGTCCCGTAATATGACGAAACAGCTGTTCAATGCTTCCAGGTTTTCAGTGGTTCGTTATGATAACTACCTTAAAAAATTTCTTCATTATCTTTTGCGTATGTTGTCTTATGATTTGTAGACTTGACTTACATTCCTATTGTTACTAGTTTGTATTGTCTCATATTTGAAAAGTTAACCATTATGAAATAGAATTGGTTAAAGTTTCGTAACTAAACCTGTGTATATGTCTATCAAGGTGAATTCTATGACTTATTTTAACCACATCCTATTCAGTTTTACGGAATGTGTGTATTAACTTATCATTTTTTTGCCAATTAGGTTGCTGCCCGGGGCATTGATATTCCCAATGTCCATACTGTGGTTAATATTGGACTGCCATCGGAAGTAGATGACTACGTTCATCGAATCGGGCGAACTGGTCGCATGGGTAATTCAGGTAATGCTGTAACACTGGTCAGTGAAGCGTTGCTTGAAGAAAGGCAAAGCAGTAAAATAGTGTCACGTGGAATTTGTCAACTTTTGAATGCAGCTGGCTTAATACATGAGGTTCCCCAATTAATATTGGATTATGCCGATATGGATATCGATGGAAGTGAAGATGGTTCACAGCTTTATGCTAAAAAGAAGTACTCAGATTCCAGATCACATTCATTCTTTAAAAGTTACGGAACCAGATACACCAATAATAAGTTTAACAGAAGATACGATTAAATGAAGATAATCATCTTGGTTTGTGCGGTCGTTATTTCATTTGTAGTATACACATATTCTGCTTTCCAATCACATTACCTTTTGATTTGTCACTCCACTAAACAATCTTTAGCTACACGGGGTTTAAAAATCGTATGGTTATTATTAATAGGTCGAGGATAACTAGTAAAAGTGGAAACGACTTTCATTACTACTGGATATTCAATTAATCGCCAGATCCGGATTGAGTGACAAAGATTTCTGTAGAGAAGTAAGTCCGTATGCAATATTCATATTGCTGACGACTCTGAGTTCTGTAAGTATTGGTCACCTGAGCGAAGCTCCTAATCAAGAAACCAGGCAGGTTTCAAATTTGGTCGTGTGTATCCACTAGGTTCTCACTTTGCGCCGGGTTTTAAAACGCAGTCGTATTTACCGACGCCCGATACTAGCAGTAATTATAGACCCGAAGGTGCCATTTGACTCAGTCAGTCAAGACGTCTTTTGGTTCCTCTTTCTCTGAAAAGAGTACCGAGATAGTACATCACTCCGTCGAAAGCTGTGTACTCGAACACCCCTGGGCATGTTAAAGCTTATGGGGAATTGTCAGGTGAGGTGTGTATATTAAGACTGTCCACTCCCAGTTTTTTAAAAGTTAGTCATGGACGTGCTTTGGAGGTCTACCTCCTGATGTTATATGGATTGAATTTATCGCAAGCGACTTCTTAGTAGATCTAAGCGACGCAGATGACAGTCTTTTTAGGGGATGTTGATATATTACAGAATCTTCTGGACACCTTGAGTGGCAGTTTGTGAACATTGGAGCTCCCAAGTGCAAATTGTCACTCCAGGACTGGTGCTTTGTCTAACAATATGGAGTGAAAAGGTGGACCGCGTCAACCACTCCACTTTTAAGCTGGATCAGCTTGGTTGGTTAGTGACTGACAAAATCTTTCTACTACTTTCGACTGCTTCCTTCTTCATTTCATAATCCTTCATGTTGTTTCGTTCTCGCTTGTTGGTCCAATATAAAATATGGCAACTTGTACCGTTACTCAGTAATATTAGGTCCCAGGTTGATACTGAGTGACATATGAAACATTACAGACCCTAATTTTCCTCAGACGTTATAGAAAGCACCCAGTTTTCCTTGTTATTCTTCAGACTTTGATCTATTTCTGATTTTCGAGTCCTTTCTCGACAAATCGGGACAACTAGTGACCTGGAGACAAATTTGCAAATTGTGATCATCCTTTGCGAAATAGCTGTTGTATGAACTCACAAGTGACCACCATCTGAACATGTTAGCTATATCTTTCCTAAAAATAGGTCTTTTGCTTTCTTACATAGAAATGTTCACGCTAGAAGCTAAATTAGCTCAGTGGAGGTACTTGTTAACCCATTACTTGAACTCTGCATCTTTATCTTTAGCGACACGAGCATGTCACAGGCTAGATATCGGTAAATTTCAGTTCATTTTTGCCGGCATCCTACTTGTTCCTACTGCAGTCAAAAAGTAGGAATGAGATGATCAAAATAAATACACGTCTGATGAGTGTGGATCAACCTTATTCTTCTTTTTCGGCTTTTATTTATCCCATGTAACGTAGGCTGTTTTATTTTTTACCACTGTACAATCTCGTTCAACCTTTTACATAGTGGGTGTTTCGTCTTCATTAACAGGTGTCGCTTATAATTATTATCGAAAACTGTCCCAGCCTTTTACGGTTTACTATAAAGTAATCTCCCTTTGTCTGTATGAGATAGTGAAAGGTTTTGTGATTTTAAGCATCTTCCCTAACTATTTGCTTAACTCTCTGCCGAATTCACTCCGTTGTTACACCCACCCACAATGTCAGTGGCGCAACACCGTACAGTGATGTTGTGGACGTCGAATTGATGTATCATACTATAACAGTACTTAATTGTGTACCTTCAGCTGAACAATCCCGTTAGGACCGCGAAGGTTATCACCAATATTGAATATCATTAGTGTGTAGGTACCGATTTCTTGGGAATTATTTTCCACTAACAACCCAGTGAATACTGTCAGCAGCTTATGTTAATAAACCCAAACACAAGGATGGATATACAAATACTAACAGTCATGGTGAATTATAAAGACCTATTGGTATGTTTATCTGTAACAAGCGATTTGGAGCTATTCAACTGCATGTCTGCTGAATACTTAGCTGATATTTTCTGACATGTTATCTGATAGGTAGTTAAAACTGTTAGAATTCCTTTGCGTAGCACTTTCCACTTTGTTTTCAGTCTCATCGATTAGAAATGAGAATATGCGAAGTGGTGCTATGACGTGACTGGGACTAAAGTTTGTCTACTCTTATTTCTTTGTACGTATGAACCTTCATCGACTGGGATTGTTGGGACACGTAATACGTATGCCTGGTCGCCGATTGTCTCGTCTCACAATGTTGGCCGAAGTAGGTCCAGGTTGGAAAAAGGCTCGAGGTGGCCAGACTAAAACATGACACCAATGCGTGAAGTCTCTGACTGTTGGTTTGAACCAATGTGCGGGGGCGATGCAGACTAGGTGGTTGGGGTCCGTGGGACAAGAGGAACCATTGGCTGAAGACTCTAGATGGTCACATGGCTGAGAACCGATGTCAGTGGCGCGCATGTATACACACATTATCCTCATCTTGACGTAACATGTTTTATCAGCCCCGCTTATTTGACTTTTGTGATGCACAAGCCTGACTACCACCTCAACTAAGTCGTAACGGTAGGTTTAATAGCTGGTTCAGAGAATTTGTTTCACTGTTTTCTGATTCTAAATGAAAAACGTAGAAAAGTGGGGACCCGATTTGACGTCAATATTATATCTTTATATTGTTCTAAGTGCGTTACACTAGTAGATGCGTGCGGTGTGGAAGATTAGGCATGCGTGTGTGGTAAATTTCAATCAGGCTATTGGAGATAAGAATCTCTTGTGATCACTGAAGTTTAAGTGCACTTTAGAAGAAGTCTGGTTAGAGGAATGAGAAGCTCAATGTTCACATTCTGCACATCCAGATTTTCAAAAAGACTACATATAAGCAACAAAGGTGATAAGTGCGAATTAATCTGAATTATTATGCAGATCAACATAAAGAAATCCCTCAAGTGCAAATAACGATAAACACAGTAGTGGAGAAAGAGAAAAAAAGTCATCCAAAATTCACAAAATGTTACACCCCAATATCACTGCTGAATAAAAGTTATTCGTTTATCCATTTCGAATTGCCTCGACACCACTGAATGTGTGTACACTGCATCTCTGGGTCAGTAAGTCATTGACTCAACGCATCAAGGAGCTCAAAATTCACGTCAGCAGGACAACCAGTCGAATATAGCAGAAACAACCAATCGTCATCACGACCAGCTACCACATATACACTGTTCAATGGGGGTGAAAGACTCATGGTACAGCTGATGATCACCAGTGCTCATTGTTGGGTTCGGAAATGCCAAAAGGGTATCAATAGTCCGAAGGGAAAGCTGGTGTTAGTGCCTACAGCAGAATACTACGACGTTGACTACTGCGGTCGAGAAGTTAAGGAGACGACGTAAGGAACAGAAGAGACATTCTTCGAGAGGATCTAGTTAAAATATTAAAACTGAGCATAAGAACGAGAAGGGAATGCTTATGTTCAAACAAGTTGTGAATTACTTCTTCAAAAATGAGTCAGTTTCAAAGCGTGATGCGCTTGAGGAAGAGAATTCTTCCTTTCTCTAGGGTCATCACTGAAAATGTCAGGACTCAACAGGAAGTATAACGTCTAATCGTGTCTCCAGTCAGATGAAAGGGAAGCTACACTTAGTTGATCAAAGGGGGAAAGAGAGCTCTTAAGAAACTGGCGAATAAAAAGAACATCGTTATGGTTAATAAAAAGCCACCACAGCGGTTATGACTACATGATGAAGGCAGATTTTCTTCTTAAAATCAGAATCATGGGACCATCCTGTAAACCCCGTGACACAATTTCTGGAGGAGATTATGAATATTCACATTGACAACAAGAAACTGATAATGTCTTCTGGTGTTGCAACGCTATGCATCTCAATTGAGCTGAAACTAGCTAAATGTACGATGATTGTTCTTCCTAGCGGTACACATCTCTTGGGGCACACAAAACTACCATGTCCGAGTTTGACAATTCACTTATATCTTAAAACATTTCAAATTCAGTCGTGCACTCTACAAACAAACAAACAAAAGAAACACCATTGGCATAAGAAAAGCAAACAAAAAAAGTAAGTATGTTATTGGCTAAGTAGGTTGTAGGGAACACGGGCTCACTGATTGTGGGAGATTGGATGTATGTCTATTTCATAGCGCTTAACCAACCCTACTTAATTCGGTGTGGTCCGGTACCTGTTTAGTCGGTATCTTACCTAGGGTATAAGTTCTGATTACGAAACACAAATCAAAAAATCTGTTATTCAGGAATATATTCGAAAGGGCAATGTATTTAAATGGAATAAATGTAAGGGTGATTATTAGGGAATAAGTTTGTCCAACTTATCTACCTAATAGGGTTGAGCTAGGGATTCCGAGAACGTCCTTGCTAGCCAGCGCAAAATGGCGTCGAAGCCTACTCGGGTGCATATTCATTAAAACAAAGCTCAAAACGCCGAAAGAGTCAGGAGGCGAACTAGAAAGTTATTTAGTTATTAGTGAATTCAATCTAGTCTATTTACTTTGGTGCCAGGATGGTGCACTACAAGGTCATCAAAATGGAATTTCTCAGGGTGAAACAGTAAGTTGTTTCTAAAGCTCAGAAAGAGGTTTCATAAACATGGGGTGCATAAGAAGAATATGCAGTCAACCGTGGTGATGACTAATAGGTCAGAAAAATACTACTACTAGTTGCAATTAACGGTCGGAGCAAATTACTACAAGAATTTTAATTGTAAATTGGGAGTAGGAAAATAAACCATAAAGTAAAAATGACCAGTCAATGAGAATAAGGTGAGTACTGAAGTAATAGAGGAACTGAAGGTAGGATTATAACCACACCGAAATGAGACGATGGAAGTATCTCTTCTGTACGCAGACCTCGGGCTTTAATTATTAAATTGTCA